GGAGAGCACGAAACACGAGAACGCCGTCAAGAAGCAAGAGGCGCTGCTGAAGGAGGTCGAGAATCAGAAGAAAATGGAGGACTTCGCGAAGCACGACCCTGACGGCGCGAGGATCATTCGTCTACTTCGAACTATGCTATTCATATGCAAGGAGGATGCCCCGATCGCCATGTTCACGCGGCTCGTCGGGTTCATGGCAGAGGAGGGTATCAAGGAAATTCCGAGTACAACGGATGGGGCATCTGTCATGACGGGAGAGCACAACGGTCTGGTAGCGCGTCTTCGGGTGCGCATTCCGCATCTCGTTGGCTGCCACTGTATTGCACATCGGTGAGTTCATGCAGGTCGAGCCGCACTTGTCTTCCCCCTTGCAGCCACGACGTTTCGAGTCCATTTCCTCGCATGTACCGCATGTCGGACTATTTGTTATCCGTGCTAATTGCCCGACCTTGCATGTTCCTTCGCAACTCGCAGTGAGGCCCTTGCAGTGAAGGATGCGGCCAGTGCCTTCCCCAACCTCTGGATCATCGACATCGTCATTCGTGGCTTCGGCGAGATCGTTGGGCGTTCAACACCGTGGTACGAGAGGTTCAAGGAGCTCCAGCTGATCATCCACAACATGAACCTGGAGCATCAGGGGCTCTTCAACATCCGGTGGCTTTCGCGTGGAGATGCCGTAAAATGACTCTACAGGATCCTCGGCGCTGTGATTGATGTGCTCATCGAGTACAACCACAAGCTGGTTCCAGTGGTCAAAACGCTCAAGTTCCACTTATGTCTGTACTTTCTCACTGACATCCTCGCTGAGCTCAACACGCTCAACAGGTTTTTCCATAAGCGGTCGGTATGTTTTTATCATATATCCCCTTGGTCTTTGTGTTTCATGCCGCCGGTGGCATATTGTCATGTGTTGGACTGTGGACTTTCTTCAATTTCGACAATAACTTCTCCTCTCCGCATCTTGCCACTGCTTTTATTGCCCAAACCTCACATCAGGTCGACATCACCCTTGTCTCGCAGGAGGTCGACCGCACCATCACGTACATCAAGCATCGCTACGTGGAGTATGGCGAGACCTTTGGCGCGGGGCTGAGCAAGCGGCTCAACAAGTTTCTGCAGAGCTATGACGAGAATGCCGGCAAGGTGGTGGTGCATGGCGCGGATGACGACGGGCGCCCGGTTTCCCACAGTTTCAAGCTCGTGGAGAGCTCCCTGCTCGGCTACAAGTACGGTGGCACCAAGGCGGCCTGTATCACGCTGTGCACCGCCTTCACTGAAGACACCATACAGAACCTGAACCAGCGGATGTAGGACCTGAAGCGGATGGCTGGCTCAAAGCTGTACAAGGTGGACAAATGGCCGAAAAAGCAGGAAGTGCGGGAACGAAGAGCGCGCACTTGGGTCAAGTCGAACCTGGAGCTGTTTAACAACAAGCTTCCTGGTATGTATGTTATCAATCCGTCCATGCGCGTATCCCTAGCACCCACAATGTTGTCTCGCTGTATGAAGATACAAGTATCCATGTTTTATAAAACGGTGGCAGCACCACCATGGTTCTTAATCAATGTATTGTGTTCTCTTTCCATGTCTCGAATCCCGCCGGAGCCCTTCCACAGAAGTGGATGGTCGAGCAAATGAGCTGGAGTTGAATACTTTCTGTCACATCATGAAGACGCACCGTGCTGATGACGACTTCGGCCAAGGCCTCGCCAACATGCTGAAGACGAGGGACTAGGCGAAGAGCTATCCGAACATGAGGATCTGGCAGGCGATGGCGGTGCTGCCCTTGAGCACCGTCGAGTGCGAGCGCGATTTCAGCAGGCAGAACGCCATCAAGAGCTGGCTGAGGACGAGCCTGTGTGATGCAAGACTCGGCGACCTGACGACCATTAGCCTCCTGGAGTACGACATGAACTACCCTGAGATCGTGGAGATCTGGAGGCGCCAGAAGAACCGCAGACGGACAAAAGTAGTGGCTTATGAGAGGAGCAGCGATGCTGCCAAGGGCAGGGAGCATGAAGAGTCCGATGAGTCAGAGGAGGAGAGTGGCTCTGGTGAGAGTGCGTCAGAGGAAGAGGAGGATGAGCATGATGAGTAATGTATGTATGCGTATTTGAAATGAAACGTGCGTCTATCGGACCAACCACAAAATCCCCTTAATCATGTGATTGTTGGGGTGCACTACAGCAACACAGAGTTGTGGAAATTTCTCCACTGCACTACCAGTGTAATTTTTTCAAAATGGTAGAAAACCCTGGCAAATCAGAGAAAGTGTGAGGGTGCACTCTGATTTTCAGAGTAATGCGAAATGTCACTCCCCAATATTAGAGTAGTAAAAATCCAAAAATAGGCCCTGCTTGTGATCCACACTGTCTTACTCTTTTAGCTATGTCAAATTCTCTTCAGTCAATTCCCAGCTCGACTTTCATCTAAGCATTATGTTTGAGAATTCGAGTCTCTTGGTTGCAAGAATTGTTTCATGTAGGCTGCTTTCAGCAGTTCGGGAGATGAGGAAGTTTAAACATATATGATGAGGAAGTTTAAACATAGTATACATGATATCATACATATATAAGTTTAAACGTATATGATGAGGAAGTTTAAAGATATATACAAAACAAGCTCCGCAACCCTAAGACGAGGGAAAGTACATCTGCGCTCCGTATTAGGGTCTCCGCTATTACGTACGGTCAGTGGAACGCTATAGACAATCAGAATTAGTGAGTTCGTTACACGACTAGTCAGTCGGGTTCCACGTTTAGTCAGTGACTGCTGGTAAACATTTCCACGAATGGTCAGTGGACGAAACCCCCGCCCATTTTGGGCAGTTTTCCCGCTCGCGGCAGCCCAACAACCAAACGAGTGTAATAATTGCGAGGGGAGAGTTTTTTTCGCGCCAGCCTTGCGCTGCACATTTCGCCCTTGTTCCAACCCTCGGTACTGTACATTTCGCCCTACTCCAACGCTTGGCACTGTACATTTCGCCCTCACTCCAATGCTTGGTACTGTACATTTCGCCCTCGCTACGTACCAAGCGTTGGAGTGAGGGTGAAATGTACAGTACCAAGCATTGGAGTGAGGGCGAAATGTACAGTGCCAAGCGTTGGAGGAGGGCAAAATGTACAGTACCGAGGGTTGGAGCGAGGGCGAAATATGCAGCGCCAGGCTGGCGCGAAAAAACTCTCCCCTCGCAATTATTACACTCGTTTGGTTGTTGGGCCGCCGCGAGCGCGCGAGCGGGAAAACTGCCCAAAATGGGCGGGGATTTCTCTTAGAAACTTAGGACTCAAGGTTCTTAAACTTAGGAGGCTAGGTTGGCTAGAATACTAGGAAGAAGGCCGCCATGGAATGGCGTGAGGAAAACGGATCTAGGAAAGGAGAGAATGTCGAGAAGAAAGGGATTTGATTAGGAAGAGAGAGGAGTACAAGAAGGGGTTTGTACCCTCTACAGAAAGGTTCAGTAACAACCTACCAAGCCTATATAAAATTATAACTTATATAATTTAAACACACCCCCTAGGCTTGGTAGTGTCAAGCCCACGCACACCCCCACACCCACACCCACACCCACACCCCCTAGCCCAGCACCCCCATTCCCAGCAGGAGCCGCAACGACTCCGGAAGAGGGTAGGTCTCACGGCCCCTTTAGACGGCAATGGCGGCAGCAGCGACAGTGACGACAGCGGCGGCGGCGGCGGTGTGCGGCGGCTCCAGGCCTGCGGCAACAGCGGCGGCGCCGGCGGCTCGAACGACAGAGGCTGGTGCGGCGGCCCCCGCCCTCTCGGCGGCATGTCCTGTCTCCTCGGCGGTGGAGAGGTCCCTCATAAGGCAGTCATCGGCTGCAGCAAGAAAGGGGGGGATGCAGGGGAAGCAGGTGCAGGTGGGGGGGGGAGGGGAGGGGGCGGGGCGAGGCGAGTCTTCAGCGACGCGCCATAAGTGGCGCGGCGCTTACTGGCGGGAGGACGGCGTCCAGAGGGACGCCCGTGGCTGGCGAGCGGGCGGCAGGTCCGGCTGCGTCACAGACGTCGCTCGGCCGGCCGCAGTCCGACGATGCCAGCGGCTGCCCTAGACGCCGCCACAGCGCACCGTCAATGCTGCAGCGGTGAGGCGGACGGGCGACGGCTGCACCAAGGGGCCGTCGCGACACCTTGGCGCCGCGACGGCAGGCAACAAGGGGCCGTCGCGACATCTTGGTGTCGCGACGGCAGGCAACAAGGGGCCGTCGCGACAGCTTGGTGCCGCGACGGCAGGCAACAAGGGGCCGTCGCGACAGCTTGATGCCGCGACGACAGGCAGGCAGAAAACCGCGAAGGTTGCGAATGCAGCAGGAGTACGCAACGGGAACGTAGGGAGAGGGTCCGGTGGACACGACCCGCTCTGATACCATCTTAGAAAATTAGGACTCAAGGTTCTTAAACTTAGGAGGCTAGGTTGGCTAGAATACTAGGAAGAAGGCCGCCATGGAATGGCGTGAGGAAAACGGATCTAGGAAAGGAGAGAATGTCGAGAAGAAAGGGATTTGATTAGGAAGAGAGAGGAGTACAAGAAGGGGTTTGTACCCTCTACAGAAAGGTTCAGTAACAACCTACCAAGCCTATATAAAATTATAACTTATATAATTTTAACAGTTTCATCCACTGACCATTCGTAGAAATGTTTACCAGCAGTCACTGACTAAACGTGGAACCCGACTGACTAGCCGTGTGACGAACTCACTAATTCTGATTGTCTATAGCGTTCCACTGACCGTACGTAATAGCGGGGACCCTAATACTGAGCGCGGATGTACTTTCCCCTAAGACGATCGTGTCTCTTGTTTAATCTTGTTATTCACACACTACGCAAAATTGGCAACTGCTTTTATATTTCCATCCCCTGTTAGATCATACACGTGGTCCGACGTGGCCTGCGCCTTTCTGCGCTGGAACAACGCGAAATCTTTTGAACCCGATATTGAAAGTTGTAGTCGTTATCGGCATATCAAACAGACCCGACAAAACCGTGATCAAAATCACGCCTCTGCAGCATCCTCTTCCTCTAGTACTATATCTTGGCGCAGCTGTCGCTCACCACTGTCCCGTACCCCGCCGTGTCCTCACGCAATCAGGTGGTCTATGCGCCTTAGGATCGCGCGTTCCAGCTTGCCAATCCTCCGCTATCGGATCCCCCCCATGGCTGACGTCCTTCGACGGCTCAGCAGACCGCTCAGCGCGCAGCAGCAAGCTGCAGCAGTCTCGCCGGTGCTCGTGTCTCCCGCGTCCGCCTCCGCGCGGGCCGCTCAGACGCTGCCGTTGGCCACGGCTCTCGCGCCGTCGACGCTCCCGTTAGGTTCGCGGCTCTCCTTCGCTGCTGCCCCCGCCACCGCTCCCTCCACCCGCATTCCCGGCTGCCGATCGCCTCCTCTCCGCCGCCTCTCCTTCCGCTTCAGTCGGCGCGCAGCCCTTCACGCGCGCGCAGGAATCAGCCGCGACCCTTCGGTGCCCGCGGAGTGCGCTGGACGGCGCGCACCCGCTTCGCTCGTCACGTTCCGCCAGCGCCGAGGGTGTCACGCGCAGGCGCACGAGAGTGCGGCTTCCGAAGTTTCTAGAAATAGCGCGGCGGAAGCTGCGGGAGGAGGCTCCGCGGAGCGCAGGGATGGCGGAGCCGCAGAAGCGGCGGAAGGCGCGGGGAGCGTGCAGGGGGAGCCTTTTGTGGTGCTGAACTTCTACCACTTCGCAGACGTGGCGGAACCTCACGGAGACGTGGAGCGGCACCTTGCATTTCTGCAGGTGCGATTCGATAATGTGGTGCGGCAGGGAAGGGTTTGAGTGATCAAGGGGGGGCTGGGAGAATCAGATGGTAAGCGTCGCACTGCAGTGGGTAATGCGGCGCGCTTAACGTTGTTCCTTCCCCGCTGCGGCAGAGATGCACCGTGCACACGCCTGGCGGAGAGCAGAGGCTCAGCGAGAGGCTGCCGTGGCGACAGCAGCTGGCGCGGGCTCCGGGAAGTGGGCAATTTCCCACCGTGCTTCGTCCTCGTCGCACCGTGCGTGCCTCTTTGCTAAACCGATCTTATTCAACACATCTCATTGCATCCTCTATGCTCCTCTCCCTCTCCCCCCCCTCCTCTCTGCCTGCCTGACTTTGCCTGCCTGCGTGCCTGCCTGTCTGCGTGCCTCTTGGCGTGCGTGCGTGCGTGCGTGTGTGGCAGGATCGTGACATTCGAGGCAGAATCTACATGAGCCATCAGGGCATCAATGCGCAGGTGAGCATGCCGCATGGGTGAGCAGGTCTTGGTGCGCCAGTCAGCTATCCTATCTTGAAATCAATCAGTGCACGGGTCAGTGTGCGTGGCCACGTTTGGTGGTTCCAGGCTTGTTCGTAGAGAGAGCAGCGTGCTGCAGGTTTAGATGGGAGTAGGGGAGGTGGTGCACAGCGAATTTTGAGTCGACTCATAAGGGGAGGTGGTGCACAGTGAATTTTGAGTCGACTCAAAAGGGGAGGTGGTGCACAGTGAATTTTGAGTCGACTCAAAAGGGGAGGTGGTGCACAGTGAATTTTGAGTCGACTCAAAAGGGGAGGTGGTGCACAGTGAATTTTGAGTCGACTCAAAAGGGGAGGTGGTGCACAGTGAATTTTGAGTCGACTCAAAAGGGGAGGTGGTGCACAGTGAATTTTGAGTCGACTCAAAAGGGGAGGTGGTGCACAGTGAATTTTTAGTCGACTCAAAAGGGGAGGTGGTGCACAGTGAATTTTGAGTCGACTCAAAAGGGGAGGTGGTGCACAGTGAATTTTGAGTCGACTCAAAAGGGGAGGTGGTGCACAGTGAATTTTGAGTCGACTCAAAAGGGGAGGTGGTGCACAGCGAATTTTGTGTCGACTCAAAAGGGGAGGTGGTGCACAGCGAATTTTGAGTTGACTCAAAAGGGGAGGTGGTGCACAGTGAATTTTTAGTCGACTCAAAAGGGGAGGTGGTGCACAGTGAATTTTTAGTCGACTCAAAAGGGGAGGTGGTGCACAGTGAATTTTTAGTCGACTCAAAAGGGGAGGTGGTGCACAGTGAATTTTGAGTCGACTCAAAAGGGGAGGTGGTGCACAGTGAATTTTTAGTCGACTCAAAAGGGGAGGTGGTGCACAGTGAATTTTTAGTCGACTCAAAAGGGGAGGTGGTGCACAGTGAATTTTGAGTCGACTCAAAAGGGGAGGTGGTGCACAGTGAATTTTGAGTCGACTCAAAAGGGGAGGTGGTGCACAGTGAATTTTGAGTCGACTCAAAAGGGGAGGTGGTGCACAGCGAATTTTGAGTCGACTCAAAAGGGGAGGTGGTGCACAGTGAATTTTGAGTCGACTCAAAAGGGGAGGTGGTGCACAGCGAATTTTGAGTCGACTCAAAAGGGGAGGTGGTGCACAGCGAATTTTGAGTCGACTCAAAAGGGGAGGTGGTGCACAGCGAATTTTTAGTCGACTCAAAAGGGGAGGTGGTGCACAGTGAATTTTTAGTCGACTCAAAAGGGGAGGTGGTGCACAGTGAATTTTTAGTCGACTCAAAAGGGGAGGTGGTGCACAGTGAATTTTTAGTCGACTCAAAAGGGGAGGTGGTGCACAGTGAATTTTTAGTCGACTCAAAAGGGGAGGTGGTGCACAGTGAATTTTTAGTCGACTCAAAAGGGGAGGTGGTGCACAGTGAATTTTTAGTCGACTCAAAAGGGGAGGTGGTGCACAGTGAATTTTGAGTCGACTCAAAAGGGGAGGTGGTGCACAGCGAATTTTGAGTCGACTCAAAAGGGGAGGTGGTGCACAGTGAATTTTGAGTCGACTCAAAAGGGGAGGTGGTGCACAGCGAATTTTGAGTCGACTCAAAAGGGGAGGTGGTGCACAGCGAATTTTGAGTCGACTCAAAAGGGGAGGTGGTGCACAGCGAATTTTGAGTCGACTCAAAAGGGGAGGTGGTGCACAGCGAATTTTGAGTCGACTCAAAAGGGGAGGTGGTGCACAGTGAATTTTTAGTCGACTCAAAAGGGGAGGTGGTGCACAGTGAATTTTTAGTCGACTCAAAAGGGGAGGTGGTGCACAGTGAATTTTGAGTCGACTCAAAAGGGGAGGTGGTGCACAGTGAATTTTGAGTCGACTCAAAAGGGGAGGTGGTGCACAGTGAATTCTATCGCAGTTAGATTGAGATTCAACCGAAGTGCACATGCTGTTGAAGGACTCAGCATTCAGGGTTCAGGGGTTGTTCAAGCTTCACGGTTTACGATTTTAGGTCAACAGACAGGCCTTCACTCCCATCACGAGTACATATAAGAGTATATATATACACACACATTACCCTGATGTTCTTTTCGAGCAAGGTATCGTACTTCACTATGTCAGAAAACGCAGCCACTCACCACTGCGCTAAGAGGGCATGTTTCTGTAGCGGACTAGCGCACCTACAACCCCCCAGGCATAGAGGCCTGTATCCCTTCCGAGGAACGCTAGGGCAACCCCAGTGTGTCCCTTGAGCCGCTGTCTACTTGAGAACAGCCTTGCCTGCATGATGAAGAGCAGCATGAGAGGCAGAGGTAGGTGTCGCACAGCCTCTCATGCTTCTGCGTTTCGCTTTCCCATGTGTTTGATTACACCGATTGCAGCCATCATCCCTCTCGGGCTGACTTTTGAGTCGACTCAAAAGATTGCAGGCATCACCCCTCCCGGGACGTACCACCCTGCATCTCCTGTATCCCTCTTCCCTCTTCCATTCTCCCACCGCCCATCACCTTATGTTCTAAGCAGCCCAACAGCCCACGTCTTGGGCTATGCAAACTGGGCTCGCTTTCCACTAACCCACCGTTGCACCTTTGTGCCATTTTTCATTCCTTTAATCCCGCCTTCCCCCCCCCTCCCTCAAATCTCCCCCCCTCCCCTTTTGTCCCCCGCCCAACCCCACCCTCCCAGCTCAGCAGCTCGGCCTTGCACGTGTTGGAGTACGCCCACTGGGTGCGTAGTGACCCACGCTCTGCCTGCGTGCAGTCCGCGATGGCTCCATCGCCCCGTGCCCCGTCTCCACGTCCTCAACCCACCCCCTCACCTCAGCGCCCCGGCCTCGCGCATCTTGGAGCACCTGGACTGGGCGCACAGCGACCCCCGCTTCCCTCGTCCCACCTGTCACCCCTCTTCCCTCGTCCCACCTGTCACCCCTCTTCCCTCGTCCCACCTGTCACCCCTCTTTCCTCGCCGCCTCCCTCATCCCCCACCCCCCACCCTCTCAGCTCAGCGGGCCGGCCTCCCACGTGTTGGAGTACGCCGACTGGGTGCGCAGCGACCCCCGCTTCGCCTTGGTGCCGCTGCAGCTGTCGCCGTCCCCCATCGGCCACGCCTTCCCACGCCTGCGCCTGCGCTACAAGCCCGCCCTCGTGCAGGTGAGGTCCGGTGCAGGCAGGTGAGCTTTCCGCATCACACTACGCATGTGCCATCTGGTGTGCTCGTGATAGTCGTTGCAGGTGACATTTCCAGTGCCCTCCCTATAGACCATCCTAGCCTCACGCTCTCAGATTCCACCAATTCCCCAGTTAACATGGGCCAATCAGCAACTCCCTCCTTCTGCCCCCCCCGTGTGCCATACCCCTGCCGCCTTGTGAGCAGAGGAAGAAGAATGAACACTCCCCCGTCCCCCACTGTCTTCCTCCCCTCCTCCCCTTCTCTCCAGTGAAGAGGTCGGGGGGACATCTCTCCAGCCTTCCCCACTTTCTCCTTCCCCTGACTCAAGCAATGACGTTGAAAGACAACTGCCACTTTTCATACCCCACTCCGTGCTCCGGTAAGGGGAGTCATGAAGCACCTCCCCTTCTTGCCCTCTGTGCTGCCATGCCCCTGTCGCCTGCAGAGTGGAGGCACAAGATGAAGCATCCCCCTGGCCCCCAACCCCACCCAACCCCTCCCTCTCCCCCACGTCACAGGCGGCGTGCAGCAGCTTTTTATCAGACCTCTATGCCGCCACGCCCCTGTCGCACGCTTGCCCACACATCCTCCCTCCTTCCCTTTTCCCTTCCCCCTTCCCCACTCCCCCGTTCCCCCTCCCACCCCCTTTCCTTCCCACCCCTCGCTCCCTCTAGGTCACGGGCGGCATGCACCACCCCTTCTCGGACCTCTGTGCCGCTACGCCCTTGTCGCCTGCTGAGAGGAGGCAGACGATAAAAGAACCCCTTCCCCGTGCCTCCCCTCCCCCCCACCTGGCCTTTTCTTCCCAGGTGTCGGGCGGCATGCAGCAGCTGTCTTCCGACCTGTGCGCCGCCACGCCCCTGTCACCTGCGGAGTGGAGAAGGAAGATCGAAGCGATGGAGAGGGGGGAGAGGGAGGGGGACAGTGGGGAGGAGGGGGAAAAGCGCCACGAGGGGCGGCAGGGGGAGGCAGCTGAGTGCACCAAGAAGATCCTGCTGCTGGACGTGCGGAATGGTGGGTGCGTGATGTGCGAGGAAGTAGGAATGTCGGACATGCTGCTCTTCTTCGACGCGCCTCAAAACACAGCCCACATATTCAAAGTTCTTCGCTGCTCCCTTCTCCCCACTTATCAATCAACCCCCTTTTCCCCTGAACCAAGCTACGTCTGGGGCGCCGGTGACTTTGCGAGTGCGATGCCTGGTAACATTTCGGACCACCCATCCCGTTCACCCTTCCTCCCTCCCCAACCCCCCCCGTCTCTCGCTTCCTCCCCCATCATCCGCACCATCCCTGCCCTTTCCCTTCTCCACTGACCAGGCTACGAGTGGGACGTGGGCCATTTTGCGGGCGCGGTTCGCCCGCCGGTGGACAACTTCCGATCCACCGAGTTCGGCCTGCACGAGGTGACCATAGGTGCTGGCGTGCCTGCTGCGCCAGTCGAGTTTGGGATTCTCTGTAGGTAGTGGCGTGGCTGCCAGAGGGTGGGCTCGATTTGCAGCTTCACGAGGTTCATTTTGATTGAACGGGTGGGGGGATGCTGAGGTCCCAGAGACAAGCGTTCAGGTGAGATGGAAGGTGGTGGTAAGGCATACGCTTGCCTGGCATGGGGGGCATCATTCACTGCTTGTGTCCTTGCACTGAGCCTCACACAAGAACCCTTTCCCACTCATCTCCAGGAACACATGAGAATCACCACAGCAGAGCAGCAGCAGCAGCAGGAGGAGGAGGAGGAGGAGGAGGAGGATGAGGAAGGGAGCAGGGAGGTGCAGACAAGGTGGAGACAGAGGTGCTCATGTACTGCACAGGGGGCATCCGCTGCAACGTGCACTTCCCACTACCCCCCTCTCATATACCCTCCTACCCTCGCCCACCCTCTCTCACATGTTTGCAGGAGGACGTTGGAGCGACCACAGCATTGCAGCAGCAGCACCAGCAGCAGCAGCAGGGGGAGGAGGAGGTGGAAGACCCGTTATCTGTAGCCGACAAGGAGGACACGGAGGTGCTCATGTACTGCACGGGGGGCATCCGCTGCGACGTGTACTCCGCCCTGTTGAGGCAGCAGGGCTACAAGCGCCTCTACACTCTCGAGGGCGGCGTCGCTCGGTACATGCGGGAAGAAGGCGGCAAGCACTGGAATGGGCGGCTGTTTGTGTTTGACTCCCGGCTGGCGGTGCCGCCCAGGGACTACCAGGTCGGCGGGAAGGTGCTGCAGGTGGTGGAGGAGGAGGGGTTGGAGAGGGTGGGGGAGGTGGTGGGGGGGGTGATGGGGATGGGGTTGGGGGAGGGGGAGGAGGAGGAGGAGAGGGTGGGGTGTCAGATGTGTGGAGGGCCGCTGGAGGAGGTGAAGCACCGGAACTGCGCCAACTCAGACTGCAATGCGCTCATTCTGTACGCCATGGGGTGGACGGATGGGATGGGATGGGATGGCACTCATGTTCTGTCTGTATGGGATGCTGGTTATGTGCTGTGGTATGGTGCGCGAGATGCTGTGGGATGGGATGGGTGTGGTATGGACGGACGAGCATGCTTATTTTCCACATGAATTCATTGTCACCCATGCTTTCCGCTTCTGTCTGCTTGTGTGCTGGCTTGCAATCCTCCGCAGCATCCTCCCTCACGCTTCCCCCGTGTATGTGCACGCTGCATCATCCAAATGCCCACCCAGCCCCTCTCTAGTGTCTTGTGCCATGCCTGTGTGCTCCGGCTCAACTTAAAGCTCACCCCACGTTTCCTTCCTTCGCTCTCCCGCTTTACGCTGCCCTCTTTCACCAGTGTGCGCGCCACCTGCGCCCCCACCGTGAAAGGCGCCTGCAGCGCTGACTGTGCCTCTGCCCCCCCTTCCCACCCTTGTGCGGCCCCCTTCCCACCCTTGTGCGGCCCCCTTCCCACCCTTGTGCGGCCCCCCTTCCCACCCTTGTGCGGCCCCCTTCCCACCCTTGTGCGGCCCCCCTTCCCACCCTTGTGCGGCCCCCTTCCCCCTGCCATCCCCTCCTCAGAGTCTGCTCTGCCTGTGTGCACAGCATCTACAGTGTCTGCAGCAATGAGTGCGCCGCCGCCCCTCGCCTCTGCCCCTTCCTCACCCGCCCTGGCTGCACCTTTCTGATGTCTCAATCTACTAACCATCCTCCTCCCCCCCTCCCCCCCCTCCCCCCTTACCCACCAACGCTACAGAGTCTGTGCTGCCTGTGCGCATGCCATGAAGGGTGCCTGCAGCGCCGAGTGTGCGTGTGCCCCGCGCCTGCGCCCCTTCCTGGCCCGCCCCGAGCCGTACCAGCGCCTGCACACCTACCTGCCCTCCGCGCCGCCCCCTCGCCCCCCGGGCTACGTGTCTCGCCGCGCGCTCAAGAGGCGTGCAAGGAAGGCGAGGCGCCTGGCAGAGGCGGCCAGGGGGCAGGCGACAGGTGAAGGGAGGGAAATGGAAGTGACTGCTTAAATCTCCCGCCTCCTTCCGTTTACCGTACGGTTAGGGTACATTCCTATGACCTACGGCAGTTTGGCGTTTCATCTGTTTGCGCGTTTTTCCCGAGCCGCGCGACAGTTTTCCCCAACCTCTCGGCAGATTCCATATTGCATGGGCGACTCCTTGCTTGCTCTCAGAGTAGAAAGATTTACTAGAATTTGTGATACATGGTAGTTTTCTCTAAGGGGCTGTACTCTCTATAAGATTGCCCCTATCTAGCCTATAACACATACATAATATACCGTAATCCCCCGGATATAACACCCTATGGTGGATATGAAAATTCACTAAAAAAATGAGTGGGTGTTAACAGTGGCCCGGAAAAATATAACGCCCATGTGTTATGTAAAATGCAAAATGAATTCGAGTGTTACGTGCCCTATTTGCCCATAAGGGTGCGGAGCAGCTGCTAACGAGGAAAAACAATATGATTTTCCTGTCTCCCCCACAATATCGTAACCCCCTGGCCCAACGGTTTCAGCCCCCCCCGAGAATTTCCCCCTTAACCGACAATTTCGATTCCCCCTTCACTGACAATTTCGAATCCCCCTCCCCCTGAAAGTTTCGAATCCCCCTTCCCCCCACATTTTCGATTCCCTTCCCCCTTCCCCCCACGTTTTCGATTCCCCCTTCCCCCAAAATTCAATTCCTCCTTCCCCTCAATTCGATTCCCAACAATTCATTTCTGCCCGGTTTTTCCGGTGCTAATGGTTGTTGACGCACGATTTCATCATGCTCGCTTTTTGCAACTGAGCGGACCTTGTAATACAAGAACAAATTCAGTTTTCAAACGAATAAAACGAAGAGGGTGTTATGTAAAATTCGTCACCTGAAAAGCGGGTACTCTAAAAAATGCACCATATCATAAGCTCCCCCCCGTATTAACCACCCATGGAGTGACTATTCCGGCGGGTGTTATATCCGGGGGATTACGGTATGTTGACACACCCCCTAGGCTAGACAGGGGGCAACGACCAGCACGAGACACACACCTCAGGGTGGCACTACTAGTCCAACCTCTGAAGTGTTGTGGTATATTTCATACTTAGCATTCCTGTAAGTCGTTTATCGATAGATAGTGTCGAATCTTACTGTAGAAGATAAGTCCGTAGGATGACGTCAGCAAATAGCCCTCGTCATAGGACAGTCGTTTCAGTCACGTGAATAGTCGCACCTCTTCATTATCATTTAAAGCGCATAGCGCGATAGTTACGAACAGGTACATTAACGAACAGGTACTTTCCTAGAGCTGTAAATCTTTGTTCTGTTCTTTTTATTATTAACCTTGAGATTTCACCTTTGAGAACTTGGAGACTTAACTTCTGCAGAAACATATTCTCAGGTTCACTCTTACAAGACTTCCGCTGTCTTTCTAGTCTACCATTCCAGTAAAGATCCTAGGCCAACACTTGAGGTTTTCCAAGTGTTCGTGTTTGCAGATTCTACACTTAGTCTCCTGCAACACCTTTCGAATTATTACATGAAGCAAGGGTCTGAAGACCAGTCTGCAAGAGTACGCAGGAAACAAGAGCAACCCAGGGCGGGACTACTAGTCCATCCACTGGAAAAGGGGCCACAAGGCCAGTCAAGACAATATAACGTATAGCACACAATCAAGGTCCTAGCAAGTGAGAAGCTGCAGGAACGAGACCAAGCTGTGCACAGTGCCGCTGATGATCTTTAGGCGCAAGCGCCTTCGCAAAGATATCAATTGTATTGGCACCGGAGGCCAAGTGTACTACGCGGGCCTGGCGGCGCTGCTGTAGCTCGCGCAGGAGGAAGTAGCGCAGCTGGATGTGCTTCGCTCTGCCCTCTAGTCGAGGCTCCTGACACAGGAGGATAATGGCCCTGTTGTAAGCGTACATGACCAGAGCAGAGGTAGGCCACTCACCTAAGTCTGTGAGCAAGAAAGTCAGCCAGCGGAGCTCCAGTGCCGCCATGGCACCAGCGTAGATCTCAGCCTTACAGCTAGACTGGGCAACAGACGACGAGCGGGTGGACCTCTATGAGATGGCACCTGCATCAAGGCTAAAGCAGTAGCCTTGCGAGGACCTAAGAGTCTCAGCGTCGTTTGCCCATGAAGCGTATGTGTGCCCTGTAAGGACCATTGTGCTGTGCTGCTACGTATAGCAGCGCCCGAAGAGTGGTCATCTTCGGGGTCGGGGCGAAGGTCTGAAAGAAGTCAACACCCTCGTGCTGATTGAAGTCTCTAGCCACGTAGCGCGCCTTGAACTCCGACGGCTCTCGAGGAGGGCGATTCACCTTGAAGGGCCACCAGCCATCGACTATGTTCACCCCACGTGGGGGAGCTGCGTCGACATAGGTGCCGGTGGATCTCCAAGATGCCATCTGCATATCCATGGCAGCTATCCATTGAGAGGCCCAGGGTCCCGAGGTCGCCTCGGCGTAAGTGCGAGGGGTCGGGATGTCAAAGGCGACTGGGTCACCCTCGGGGACTAGCAGCATGGAGCAGAGACGTGGCGCGGCCTCGGAAAGGAAAGCAAACTCGTACTGCCAGTCCTCCAGGACGCCAGTGCCAAGGGTAGGAGCACCCCCGACAGACGGAGGACGGGCAGGGTCAGAGACCAAGGCGGTGGGAAAATAGGCGGCGGGTAGCGGTATCAGTGACGGCACCGACAAGAGCGTCAAGTATGGAGACAGAAACAAACGGTTCGGTAACAAGGGAGGCAAGGACCCGAGGAACAATAGGACTAGCGGCACGGATGAAGTCAAACAGGGGAGGCGAAGCGACAGCAAGGGACGACGGAGGAGGCGACTGGAGAAGGGGAGGACGAGACGCGTCGGAATGAAGCAACATAGGGTGAGCGCTGGACAGGAGAGCCAGGATGAGACACAAGAGAAGAATGTGGGGGCAGACGAACCGGAGACGAGTCCGGCGGAGGAAACATAAGACCGTAGACAAGCGGGGGAGGCGCAGGCGGGCGGTCAAGGGAGGGAAGACCGAGGAGGTGAAGGGGGGACACCGGCGGCGACTGCTGCTGCTGCTGCCCCACGCCGACACCAGAGCCTCCAGCTGCACCACGGCTACCTCCGGGATGCTCCACGATAGCACCCCAAGAACAAGAACCCTCTCCAGCACCGGTGCCACCCCTAGAACCGCCGGGACAAGCCATGACACTACCCCCAGATCGAGAGCCCGCTCCAGCACCGTTGCCAACCCTAGGACAAGCCACGACAGTACCCCCAGGACTACCACCCTCCTCAACGCCAACACCCCCAGAGCTCGCGGACCCCTGCGGCAGCTGCTGCTGCGGTGGCGGTGACGGCGGCTGCGGCTGCGGCTGCGACGGCGGCGACTGTTGCTGTGGCTGCGGCGGTGATGGCGGTGACTTCTGCTGCGAATGCGGCTGCTGCAGCGGCGACGGTGGCAGGTGCGGCGGCAGCGAAGGAGGAGACACTTGGGCAGAGATAGGACAGGGCCCCCGGAGTCAGCCGGAGTCAGCCGACTCCTCCACCAGGACAACCGACAGGACGGGAGTGACGCGTGACACACCAGACGGAGCAAGACGGGGAGGAAGTGGAGCAAGGGCTATCGGGGGAGTGGGGACCAGGAATACGGGTGGGGCAACCGGGAGTCCACGGTGGAGAAAGCGGGTATAGAAGGAGATAGACTCGTCAAAACCGACGTCACGTGAGTGAAAGAAACGGTGAGACGGCGGGTGGTAAAAGTGCCAGTCAGGATCGTCGAGGGGGAAACCAAGGAAGACAGAAGGACGGTGCGGGAAATGAGCTTGTCCGACCTAGAGGCATGAACGTGAGCAAGGCAGCCCCAGATGTGGAACGCAGGCGCGTCACGAAGGAACCCGGTCGAGAGAAGGGTCGGCGAAACCTGTGGCCGCTGGGAGTGTGGCCAGAGGTTAAGCTAGTGAGTGGCGTAGCGAACAGCAAATGGCCACAGAAAATGGGGTGCACCGGCATGGATCATGGTGGTACGAGCCACCTCTATGACTAGACCAATGCGTCGCTCAGTGACCCTATTTTGCTGCGGGGAGTCGGATAGGGTGTACGACTAGGTGATGCCCTCCGCACGACAGAACTGGCCAAGCTGACTAGAGGTGAACTTGCCACCACGGTCAGAGTTGAGATGTAGCATGGGGAGGTTGCGGTTGACTCGCGCAGCTTCGACCCACGGGATAAGAACGTAAGGCACGTCGGCCTTCTGTTCCAGGGGAAACACCGTGGTGTAGCGTGTGTAGTCGTCGACAAGCACTAGAAAGTTCCGCTCTTGACGTGGCCCAGGGACGGGGGCGGGGCCCCAAACGTCCAGGTGCAGGGTCTGGAGTGGCGCAGTGGAAGGGGGGAAACGAGGAGGAGTGAGGAGCACAGCGTAGCTGGCCCTCGACGCAAGGCGTGCACGGCGGCGCAGGCGAGGGAGGGAGGGCAAGGAGCGACGCAGGGAGACCGAAGACAAGCCCGTAATGGGACATGTGACGCAAATGCGGGAGTGCGGGGTGACCTAGACGGTGGTGCCACATCTGTGATGGGTGGGTGAGCAACCGACACGAGCAGGCTACAACCGGGGACGCGACGACCTGGGGGGACGCTCCGACCGGGGGGGACGCGGTGTTCAGCGTGAACAGGCCAGACACGGGGTCCCGAGGGAATGTGGTGAGAGGGGCACCAGTGGCGGCCTTGGTTTAGACTGCGTACCGCTCGTGTCCAGGGAGCTTAGTGGTGACTCCGAGGTCCTAAAGACAGCCGACACCAACTAGGTTCCTGGAGAACTAGGGGATGTGCAAGCCTGTAAGAGAGCCCGAGGGAACCGCTGGACAGGGAAAGGTAATAGAGCTACGTGCAACTACTGGACCTAAGGAGGGGTCAGCAAGCTGTGAGAGTACGATTCCGTTACACCACTTGGCCTTTTCCATATTTCATCTTCATTTCATTCCTCTTTCAGTCTCATCTCTTTTGGCCTCATATTCCCCAATTTTCCATTATCCTTTTGGTTTCTTCCCTTATTATAATTATATCACCGACCAGGCATGGAATGTTCTAGACACGCTATCTAGCGTAATCCTGCCGTAATCCCTTAAAACCAATAGCCTCGCGTGGCTATACGCAGGGTGATTCTATATTCTAGAAGGGTCTATTCCTTTAGATAGGATAAAACCTGGTTACCTGATGTACTCTGAAAGTATAAAAGCGCCTTGTACTGATCGATAGTGCAACCGATCCTCGAGTCATTCGATCCTGTGACACGTGGTAATCAGAGCTTTTCTCACTCGGCCGCGCTCAACAAAGCAGCAGCAGCGGGAAAACCTGCCTCGAAAAACCGCCGGGGCCGACGAATTCGACGCCGATTCTGGTAAGCACCAGCTCCGCGTTTTGTGAATTCCCCCTCCCGCGCGTGTTTTGAACAGGATGGCAACCTTCGACAACGCCGAGGTTACCCAGCAGCTCTTCGCGCGCATCGCAGCCCTTCAGGAGGAAATGCGAGCGGATCGCGAAGCGTGGCGAAACGAATTCGAGCGAGTAACTCGACTCGCCGGAACGCAGCACGAGACGACAACGGCGACGACGCAGCAGTCGCAGCAGTTTCTCGAGGCTCCAAAACCGCGCCCACCTGAGCCGTTCGATCCGAGCGATCGAAACTCCGACGCCCGCAGATGGATCGCCGGGATGGAGATCTACTTCGCAGCTGTCGGATGGAGCTCGCCAGTCTGGGACGGTCAACGCGTACGACTCGCGGCGACACTGATGCGAGGGCCGGCACTCGAGTGGATTGGCGGCAACAACACCTTCATCCACGGTGAAGCCACGTGGCAGCAGTTCCGCGCCGACCTGCTGAAGCGATTCGAGCCGATAAATTCAGGTTTCCTTGCCCGCGAAAAAATTCATCGCCATCGACAGTTCGGGAGTGTAGCACAGTACACGCAGCAGATGGAAGAGTTTTATAACAGAATTCCCGACCTGACCGAAGGGGAAAAAGTGCAATCGTACCTCGCAGGGCTGAAGACCGAAGTCAAACGACAGGTGGCAGCGTCAAACTACGCGAGCTACAGTGACGTCGTTTCGGCCGCGGAGCGCTTCGACATGGTCAACGCCGGAACACGACGGACGCACGTCGGCAGTACGCGACAGGGCGACCGCTCGGCTCACACCACGTTCGCCGACCCGATGGAGATCGACAGATTCGACGGGCGGCCACGTCCGAAAAACACCAATTACACGTGTGATTTTTGCGGGGTGCCGGGCCACCGAATCTTCGACTGCAACAAAATGAAGGCCGCACGCGCAGAGTATCGGGCACGCAACAGTGGCGGAAATCTTTCGGCCAATCAGAAGACAAAAAACGGGAGTCGCCAGTGATTGCGGATCTAGCTGCCGAAAATAAAAAGATCCGAAAGCGGCCGCGGGATTCCGGAAAAATCAACTTCGACGAAGCTGATTCGACGCGAGAAGGAGGAAATGATGGGGGAAAATCTCCACCCCACGACCAGTCTTCGCCAGGGAAAATCGCCGAGAAAAAATACGACTCCGCGAAAAAAGACTCTGCCGAGACAGGGAAACTCCTTGAAGACCCAAGAAATTATAAGAATTCGTTAAAGTTATCTTATAAAGATGCTTAAATGAAAACTTATGATTTTCGAGGGGCTAGAGCCTTGGAGAAAATACGGGAGGGACTCCAAAAGAAGCAGAAAGCTGTGGAGATTATACCGGTACCGGATAACTTGGGGACCAAATTAAGGAGTGTGGAAAGAAGCCGACCTTTCCACGGAGTCAACGTCCTCCCCCGACACCAGCCCACAACGACTACCCGCTCCCCAGGGAAGACGTCGGTGGAGCTGAAGCAGCTCAAGAGGAAGCTGGGGGTCTACAAGAAGCTGCAAAAACCCCGAACTCCTTCTACGGATGCATCCAGTTCTTCGGCATCAACGACACACACAGTCGTCAAGGAAACTCCGGGCCCTGGAGAAGAGCCGTTCTCCAAGCAGCCTTGGCCAGCTGCTAGCTCAGGAGCAGATAGCAACGAAAAGGTGTGTACGGATTATTGGGATGTACCCTATGACCCCATTAATGAAACTATCTTTGGGTACTCCGAGCAACGCCCGCCTCTCGTGCTCGAGGTCATCTGCAAAGGACGACGCCTCCAAGCACTCGTGGACAGCGGAGCGTCACACACCGTCTGCGACAAGGCAGTGATCGACCGACTCCGGGAAGAGTACAAGCCTTCAGGATTTTCTGCAACGATGGTGGATGGCAGCAAGTTACCAGTGCACGGCGAAGCAGTGTTACACTTACAAATTGGACCACTGCGCTGGAGACCGGCACTCCCCATCACCAACATCAAAGGGCTTGACCTGATCTTCGGGCGAGACTTCCTGAAAAGATTCAACCCCGAGATCAACTGGGTGAACCGCACCGCAAGCATCTACAACAATGGACGGAGAGTACAGCTACCCAACTGGGACGATACTGGAGATATCCTAGTGGAGACACTCGCACGATTCGAGAAGGACGTGAAACGAACCGACACCGGGTTCCTGGCAATAGCGACAGAGGTGAAAGACGGCAAGGAGAAGATCTCGGAACCTCCAGGAAAAATCAAGGAATTGCTGAAGGAGTTCCAAGACATTCTTCCTGACGACCTACCGAACGAGCTACCGCCATACCGCACACATCAACATGAGATCGTGGAGGAACCAGGTTCGAAACCGACCTTCCGAGCACCATATCGGCTCAGTCCTACGGAGCTGACCGACATGAAGAAACAAATCGAGTATCTCTTGGCCAAAGGACTCATCCGACCATCTACTTCACCATACGGTGCCCCAGTACTCTTCACCCCGAAACCGGACGGAAGCCTGCGCATGTGTATCGACTACCGAGCTCTTAACAAGCAGACTATCAAGAACAAGTATCCGATACCACGAATCGATGACCTGCTTGACCAGCTTCGGGGAGCTACGGTATTTTCCAAATTGGATCTGCGGTCCGGATACTGGCAAATACGGATGGCGGACAACTCTATCCACAAAACTGCTTTCCGAACTCGGTACGGATCGTACGAGTATCTGGTAATGCCGTTCGGACTCACCAACGCACCGGCAACTTTCCAAGCCGAAATGAACCACATTCTACGACCACTTCTGGACGAGTGCGTGGTGGTATACCTGGACGACATACTCATCTACTCGCGCGACATGAAGCAGCACGTCGAACACCTGCGACGCGTCTTCGAGATTCTTCGACGAGAACGATTCTACGTCAAGCTGTCCAAGAGCGAATTCGCCCTTGAAAAGGTCCAGTTTCTAGGACACATGGTGAGCGCTCAAGGAGTTCACGTCGACCCCAAGAAGATCGAAGCCGTACGTACGTGGAAGACACCCGAGAACGTGAAGGAGTTGCAGCAGTTCCTAGGCTTCGCTAATTACTACAACAGGTTCGTGCCACAGTATGCGAGAATCGCGGCACCACTCACGAATCTGCTGAAGAAGAACACGCCCTACAATTGGGAGACGAAGCACCAGGAAGCCGTGGAGCAGCTGAAGCAAGCACTTACGTCCGCACCAGTACTCATCTTGCCAGATCCCGAACGTGACTACGTCATTGAAGCAGACGCCAGTGATCAGGCCGTGGGGGCAGTCTTGATGCAAGACCAGGGGAATGGACTGCAACCAATTGCCTACCTCAGCAAGAAACTGCACGGGGCAGAACTAAACTACCCGATACACGACAAAGAGGCTCTTGCTATCATCATCGCCTTCAAAGCGTGGAGATGCTATCTCGAAGGACGAAAAACGACCGTCTACACCGACCACTGCAGCCTGAAATACTTGAAGACACAACCCAACCTTTCCAGGCGGCAGGTCCGGTGGATCGACTTCCTCGAGACGCACTTCCACTACGACATCGTGTACAAGCCCGGCCACAAGAACAAAGCAGACGCCCTCAGCCGGCCTGCACACGTTGCCGCTATTCAGGTCGAAGGGATGAATCCACTACTCAAGGGACTCTTCACACACGGGTACGCCATCGACCCCGAAATTTCCTTGGCAGAAAAACGACACCTGCTACAGTGGGACAACGACATTGCGTACCGGAAAGGATCAACGAAAATTTGGGTACCCAATTACCCTCCTTTGCGCCAGTTACTACTCGAAGAATACCACGACGTCCTTTACGCCGGCCACTTCGGTAGCAACAAGACGCTGACCGGTATCGCCAAACACTACTACTGGCCCCACTTGGCAGACGACGTTCAGAAGTTCGTCACCTCGTGTGATACATGTCAACGGATGAAGAGCAGCAAGCAAAAGAAATCAGGACTACTGCAACCTCTTCCTGTCCCAGAACAACCATGGCAAGTGGTTAGCCTGGATTTCATCACCGGGTTACCACCTACCACCAGCGGTCATAACGCGATCCTCGTCGTCATCGACAAATTCTCCAAAATGGGACACTTCATCCCGACACACACGACAGCACGCACCGAAGAGACAGCACAACTCTTCGTTCGATTCATCATCTCACAGCATGGCATTCCAACCACACTCATCTTCGACCGAGACCCCAAGTTCACCAGCAAGTTCTGGAAGGAACTTATGTCTCTCCTCGGGACAAAACTCGCCATGTCATCTGCATACCATCCGCAGACAGACGGACAGACCGAGCGCCTTAACCAAATTATTGAGCAACTCCTCCGAGCAGCCTGCAAGGACGAGATCTCCAGATGGGACTTGCACCTGCCTGTTTTAGAGTTTGCCTACAACAACGCTACACACGCCGCTACAGGACAGACGCCGTTCTTCCTCTGCTACGGACGTCACCCACTCACACCACAGAAACCGCCAACACCAGCAACAGTCCAACCTGCACACGACTTCATCACAACCATGCATCAGCTTTGGGATCGGACCCATAAGCGCCTCCTTGACATTCAACAGCAACAGAAGCGCCAGGCCGATCGCCATCGCAACGACCACACCATCACGGTGGGAGACCAGGTGCTTCTCGACACCCGCAACCTGGACATCAGCCACCTCCCATCTAAACTTCGACCTCGCTTCTGCGGGCCTTTCCTCGTTGAAACACAGGTCACTCCTGTTACCTTCCGCTTACGCCTACCAGCTACCTGGAAGATTCACAACGCCTTCCATGTCCAACTTCTGAAGCCCTATCGGGATCCTAACACGATCTTCGTGGGATGCCAACCGCCGCCGCCGCCGCCCGTCCTCGTCCACAATGAACCCGAATACGAGGTCGAGTCCGTGCTTGCACACCGCCGTCGTCGGAATGGTACCGTGGAGCTTCTTATTCGCTGGAAGGGTTATGATCCTTCTGAGGACAGCTGGGTCTCTGAGACCGACATGGGTAACGCCCGTCGTCCTCTGCATGACTACCTTGTCAAGCAGGGTGTTACTTCTACCACCCAGCTTTGAGGGGGGGAATTGTGAGAGTACGATTCTGTTACACCACTTGGCCTTTTCCATATTTCATCTTCATTTCATTCCTCTTTCAGTCTCATCTCTTTTGGCCTCATATTCCCCATTTTTCCATTATCCTTTTGGTTTCTTCCCTTATTATAATTATATCACCGACCAGGCATGGAATGTTCTAGACACGCTATCTAGCGTAATCCTGCCGTAATCCCTTAAAACCAATAGCCTCGCGTGGCTATACGCAGGGTGATTCTATATTCTAGAAGGGTCTATTCCTTTAGATAGGATAAAACCTGGTTACCTGATGTACTCTGAAAGTATAAAAGCGCCTTGTACTGATCGATAGTGCAACCGATCCTCGAGTCATTCGATCCTGTGACACAAGCGCTACAGCGGCAGGGGCAGCAAGCGGCTTTAGCATACTGTGGTCGCAAAAGAAGCAGGCTAATGCACCAGAGTCTAGCGTGAACGAGACCGCGGCGGTAGCGGCTGCAGGCGGAGGAGCCAGCGTGGAGCCGAGGCTAAACAAGGCAGGTGGTCCTATGCCTGACGCAGCAGAGGAAACTAGACTACACTCAGTGGACTCACCAACACTAGGCAACACCAGGTAATAGGGTCCAGTCACACTAGAGTCGTCAGCATACATGACATACATAGCAGTCATAATCTGTTCCATGTCAAGCTCAAAGACAGGCACACGATGGCGCACCAGGGCGTACCAGTCAGGAGGGTCTGACGTGGGACCAAAGCGGAGGAGACGGAAGAGGTCGTTGAGGCGGCAGTAGCAGCGGGCGGCGGTGTGACCAGGATGGTTGCAGACGGTGCCGCACTGGGGGGCGGACTGAAGCTAGTACTGGCTGGTGGCCACACTGGAGCAGCCACCCGACACTGAGCTGCACGGCCCACCACCACGACGACCACCACCAGCGCCACCAGGCCACCACGGCGGTTGCTGCTGCTGCTGCGACTGCTGCTGCGGAGGCTGCTACTGCTCCGAGGCACCAGCCCAGTCCCCTCGTCTGCACCATTGCCCCCGCCCCCACCTCCACCACCCCCACCACCCTTCCCTCCGCCACGCCCCCTCTTGGGGCGGTGGCCCTTACCCTCACGCTGCTGCGTTGAGGTCCTTACCCTCACACTGGTCAGGAAGGCGTGTGGCAATAAGGTAAAGGGTAGCACGAAGTGGCGGCGGGAAGGCAGTGAGCTGTGTCTCAGTGCTTGCGGTGCGGTAGCTAGTCTCCAGTGCACGTAGGTAAGTGGCAAGGTTAGCGACAGTGGGGGAAAACGCAAGGTCATGGAACAGAATGGGAGGATTAGACGGTCAACAGAGGCTGAGGTGGGGGTGGAATAGTGCGCGATGACGGCATCTAGGTATTCCTTGGCGTTTGCTACATCGGTAAAGTGGGGACGCTTAGACAGGGGGAGGGCATGACTAATGGCAAGCTGTGCAATGGCATCGCGTGAATCCCAGACAACGCAGGCAAGCTCAGTAACGACAAAAGCCTCACGCCCAGCAGACGTGGGGGTGTCAGGGAGAACAGCAGGCAAGGCAGGGCGAGGGAGCTTACCGTCGACATGGACGGCCAGGGAGTGGCCGTCCCGGCGCTGCCCGGTCAGCTGGCAGCAGAGGTCGACGAGTCACACCTCAAACTCAACGTCCCAACCCTCCGCGTTCAGGCGGAGCAGTGAGTCCGCCATCACCACGGCTGCAGCTGCTGACTGCCGCGGACAATGGGAAGAGGGAAAGCGGAGGAGGGCAATGGAGAGCGGTGGAGAGTGGTGGAGAGTGGTGCAGTACGGTGGAGTGTGCTGGAGTGTGGTGGAGAGCGGTGGAGTGCAATGGAGAGCGGCGGAGTGCGGTGGAGAGTGGTGGAGACTGCCGGCTGTTAGGATTAAGGACGGAGTCTAGGTGAACTTAGGAGCTAGAATTACTCAAAATATAAATCCGAAATTCTGGACAGAAAAGTCGTCTTCACAAGAAACGACGTCGACAAAAACCTAGCCGTTGGAATGTCGCGAAAATCGGATATGTTGTAGCTTGTAATCTTAGCTACCATTCTAAATTTGAATCACGTCGATTGATGGAGTATTCGCGACGCTATGTCTTTCGACGCACTGAGGGGTAAGCTGTAGGAGGAGAACTTAACTCAATCTCAAAAGTTCAATCAAAGTTCAAGAATCTCACAAGGAATTAGAGGAGCAAGAGAAAGGTTGGGATAGGAAGAGAGGGACGAGAGGGAAGGTCCCAGGAGAGTCCCCAACCAAGGAAACCCCATAAACACAAAGATTCCCCCTCTATAGGAACCCCAACTTTGACATTTGTCCCTTCCCAACCAATCCATCCAAGTTGGCCACCCTTGCCAACCTAGCTTGGTTGTTCCCAACCAATTTGCAGCTGTTACACTAGAGTGACAAATTTCCCCAACCCCAAAGGTCCAATCTCCATATAGAGTCACCCCACAACTTCACTTTGTAACCGCCGCAATTGTAACGCAAGCTCATGAACTTTGAATCTTCATAGCTTTCGCGTTCTTGCTCCGATTGAAGCGATTCTTGTTGCGTCGGAAAAATCTTCTCGAGATCTATCATCACAAATACCTGCTCAGACAGAATAACACGAAACACATTCCCTAACTCCAGAACACACACCACACAAATTCTTTCACACACAGTCAAACCATACATGCGAATTGAAACAAGGGATGGGAGGCAGACAGAATGTGATAGCATATGATGACATCACACAACACCGGCGGGAGCGCCGGCTGAGAGGGGAAGCCAAGGCCTGCAGGTCAGCTCGGCTCGGCGGTGGGAAGGGGCGGGCCGGGCTGGGACCGACGGAGCTGCGGGCGGCGGTGTGGGGGCGGCTGCTGGCGGCTACGGGAGGGCGGCTACAGGCGGGCCAGCGGCTAGGGGCGGCCAGCGGGAACGGGCCGCCAGCGGCTACGGGCGGCTGGTGGCTACGGGCGGCCAGCGGCCACGGGTGGCTGGCAGCAGTGGGCGGCCAGCGGGGATGGGCGGCTGGTGGCAACGGGCGGCCAGCGGCTACGGGCGGGCTGGCGGTGATGGGTGGCTAGCGGCTACAGGCGGGCTGGCAGCAACGGACGGCCAGCGGCGACAGGTGGCCAGCTGCTACAGGTGGGCTGGCGGTGTCGGGCGGCCAACGGCAACAGGTGGCCAGCGGCGACGGGCGGCTGGCGGCTACGGGCAGTGACAGCGGCCAGCGGGCTACGGGCAGCTGACGGCTACGGGCGGCAGCGACGGACGGCGGGCAGCTGGCGGCTAAGGGCGGCCAACGGGCTGGCGGCTACGGGCGGCCAACGACGACAGGCGGCCAGCGGCTACGAGTAGCGACAGGCGGCCAGCGGGCTACAAGCAGGTGGCGGCTACAGGCGGCGGCGACAGGCGGCGGGCAGCTGGCGGCTAAGGGCGGCCAACGGGCTGGTGGCTACGGGCGGCTGGCGGCTACGGGCGGCCAGCGGCGACAGGTGGCCACCGGCTACGGGCGGCGACAGGCGGCCAGCGGGCTACGGGCAGCTGGCGGCTACGGGCGGCAGCAACAGGCGGTGGGCAGCTGGCGGCTAAGGGTGGCCAGCGGGCTGGCAGTTAAGGGGCAGCTGGAGGCTTCGGGCGGCCAGCGGCGATGGGCTACGGGCGATGGGCGGCTAGCGGCTGTGAACAGCGAGCAGCTAGCAGCGGCGGCTAGCGACGGTCGGCTAGTAATGAGTGGCTAGCAATGGGCGGCTCAGGCTAGGGCTAGGACTTGGGAGGAAGCGCAGGGGGGCGGGATCCTAACCTAGCGTCATACCATCTCAGAGTAGAAAGATTGACTAGAATGATGGGGTACAAGGGAATATAACCTAAGGTGTTGTACACTCTAAGAGTACGCACCTATCTAGCCTATAGTAACATATACACATATGTTTGACAGAAGTTACATGCCAGCAGGACGCATATTAGAGAGTACGCCGTCTAGGGTTGTAGGTCGGACGTGTGACGGTACAGGCAGAAAACGCCTCAACATGCTAACGGGGGTACGATTCGTGGAACTGCGCGTGTCCCCCAGCTGACCGTGTTTTGCGGCCACGAAATTTGCGAACCCCAAGGATTTTCGCTAAAGCCCCAAGGCGCGAGCCAGCACAGAAAATCACTGTCTCAGAGGCCACGACAGAAAGGAAAAAACAGCGATTAAGCAATAATTGCGGATGATCTTCAGGACAACAATCGACTGGCCGTTTTTGAAGCCGTTCAGGGGCATTTCTGATTCGGCGGTCTAAACCACAGCCAAGACAATGTGCAAACGCACGCACTCAAATCTCGTGCAATAAAGGTTTCTAGACTTCGAATCGGGGAGAATCTGTTTCCGAAAAAAGTAAACCAGAAAGCCCTGCTCTAAAAATAAAGGTAACCGGATAGCAGCAGGGGTTTTTTTTTCGTGCGGTACACTTCGGTTTCCGACAATTTTTTCCAGGACCAGCGGGTACACTTGAGCGCCCAATTTGGGGTTTTTTGTTTGTAATCGAGTACCGTTTGGTGAACTGTGTTTTGTGACGTCAACGGCATGTACAGATGATGTCCGCAAAATTGCCAGCCCGATTCTGTCCCAAAGTGCTCCCCCCCGATCAGTAATTCCATCCACATTCATCCAACGCAACTCGTGAACACGGTGTTCTAAAGTCGGGCACCCTTTGTACACTCATCCAAATGAACGCTTAGGACACGCCCTCAATGTGAAACCATCAATAAGCCTGTCAGAAACCAATGGAGCGCCTTTGTCGGATGCTACACCTAGCCCGCTGTATTTTCACACTGAGAATTTTCACCCTATGCGTCGGGAAGTGCGGGGGTCAAGTTTCGGAAAGCCGAACCGCACTAGCATGGGCGGTTCCGAAGGTGTAGGAAAAGCAGCCCCCCAGAAACGCTGACGCGGTTCACGAACGAGACAAAAACAGTCCAGCACACTGGCCAATATGAATCTAGCGCTGAACGGGATGGACGATGAGGAAATTGAGGCTAGTGCTAGACCCCAAATTTGCAACTCAACATTCTAAAAATGACGCGACCCTCTACAAAAACGCCAAGTCAAATGGCCAAGACGATTTCTTGGTTACGATTGGCCGTCAGAAATGGAAGGTAAAGGTGGGGGGGCGACCCCCCTTGGGAATTACCCCCGGCTGTCGATCGTAATCCGCCTGCCCAATTGTTTACACCCCTTGCTGGGTCAACGAGGGTGGAATATCCACGCCCAGGGAGAGGCATGTGAGAGCCCTTTTCTGAGGACTTGGCAAATACACCTGCACGCGGAGTCGAACCCAAACCCTCTCCCATTGGTAGCGGCACAACGACCGTTGGGCCACCACAGAATGGCTGTCAGACATGGAATTCGCCAGAAACGGGTCTGAACATGTGACACAGGTACGATTGGGCCTGGCCTTGTCTCTGGAATTCGCGTGGATTTCGTGCCGAGTTTGCAAGGTTTGAGCATTTCGACGTTTTCAATGGTTCAGTGCGATGCTTCGGTTTTACTACTCCCGAGAAATGATGCTGGACCTAATGATGACGCGTCAGCAGAGGCATTCACTTTAGCTAAGTCACCACTACGATTTGCACCTCAATTTGGATGACCCCGTGAAAATGCTGGGCGAAATTCCGGCCCATAATTTTCAACAATCCCGCAAAATCCAAAATCTTGCTATTCACTTTCACGCTATGAAATTACAGCAGGTCAGGTGTATGCAACATTCCCCGAGGAGCCCAAAAAAGGCCTTCCCACTCAAGATGCATGGGTGGAGCGCAGTGGCACGGAGGGTTGGGGGTTGGTCTAAATCCCAACCCACCGAGAATCCCATCCGTGAATTGCAACACCAGACCAGACCTCTTTCACTTCATCTCTTGTGCTTTTAGGCAGCACTTGATGCTTCACCGCCACCGACGTCGTCGCAGCTTCAGAACACCCCGAATGCTGATCCTTCCCCCATCCAATCCCCCGTCTACTCCATTTCTGCCTGCCAAATAGCCCACAAATCGTCGCCACCATCGGGGCACCATGAACCACCAGATCCCCCCAGCGGAGCTGGCGGTGGACACGGACTACTTGCGCAAGGTGGGCGCCTTCATCCGCCAGCCGCCTCGACCTGCTCGGCCCCGCCAACACCGCGGCCGTCTCCGCCTTGCAGGTCACGCCGCTGCGCCACCCATGCTTGCTGGGCCCGCCGAATCCGCTGCACATGCCACATCCGCCGCTCGTGTCGCCACCTCCCATGCTTCTGCCGCTCAAGTCGGCGTCCCCCATGCATCCGCCGCTTCTGCCACGGGGATGTCGCTGACCACCAGTGCGGCCGGCGTACCCGCCGCCGAGTCAACCGCGCATCCGCGCTTCACGCACCCCCCTCCGCGCGCAGATGCGATCGGGATTGCCGTGGCTGACGGCGCTTCCTCCGCCATTGGGTCGTCAACGAGGCCGGCGATCAACGGTGCACTAGGGGGTGCGCTTGATGGAGGCGATTTGAGGGCCAACAGCAGCGATGGCGGGGAGGCAAGGTCTGAGAGGGGTGCCGCTGCAGTGCCGAAAGTCACAGCGCCTTCAGCGGCTGCTTCTCCTGCTCCTCCACCCGCCATCGCTCCCCAGCCTGCCATCGCTGTTGCTCCTCCTCTTTCCATGCTTGCAGCACCTTCGACCAACCCCACTGTGAATACTCTCGCCTCTGCCACATCGGCAGCGAATCCCGCTGTGACAGCTGTCCCGACTGGTGGCGCGGATGCAGCTGTCGCTTCCGCCACCCCCAGCCCTCTGCTGCTGCCGCCCTCCATGCCCTTGTGCCGTTGCTGCCTGTTGCTGCTGCAACAGCGAGTCTTGAGGCACCTCAACACGCGCCTGTTGCTGCCACTGCGAGTACAGCCGCGCAGCTGCAGCAGGGCGCGCAAGGGCCGCACATGGCGGGCGACCGAGACGCGCAGAGGCAGGGGGGGCGGCATGGTGATGGGAAGGAGCATGCAGGGCGGGGCGAATCTAATGGGATTGCTTCTAAAGGGGGGGAGAAGGGGCTTGGGGCTTCTGAGGTAAAAAGGGGAGGCGAGGGGGGAGAAGGGGAGGAGGATGAGGGGGGTGGTGAGGGGGATGGTGGGGGGAGGAGGGGAAGCGGGCGGAGGGGTGAGGAAGGGAGCAGGGGAGGACAGGGGGGGAGAGGTGGAGGAAGTGGTGGAGGGGGGAGAGGAGGGGGGTGGAGGGGAAGAGGGGGGAGAAGGGGGGGAGGGAGTAGGTCGGCGGATGGGGGAACAGCGCCAGGTGCGTCAGGGGAAGAGGAAGAGCAGTGGGACGAGTGTGGAGGTGATGGGGAGGGGCAGGAAGGGGAGTGGGGGACTGGGGGGGAGATGGCGGCGGAGGGGGAGGAGAGGGAACGCACGGACGGGGGCCCTGATGGGCAGATGCAGGGGGAAACAGGTGGCAATGCAGTGGGTGGGGGGGAGCGGGAAGAGGGAGAAGAGCGGGAGGAGATAGGGGCCCGTGAGAGTGAAGGGCATGAGAGGAAGAGGCACGAGCGTGAGAAGCCGAGGGAGGAGGGGCCCGGGGAGGAAGAGGAGAGGGAGGTTGAGGAGCCATTTCTGCAAGAGCAGGAATGTGCTACGAGAATCGGTTCGGGAAACGTGGGAGGTGGAGAGAGTAAGGATGCGGAGTCAGGAGTGGTGAGGGAAGAAGTGAGGGGGCGAGGGCAGGTGGTGGAGAAGGGAAGTGCGAGGGAGGGCGTGGACGAGGAGGGGGGAGGAGATGAGGAGGAGGCAGAGAGAGGCGAGAAGAGGGACGGACGAGAAGGGGAGGAGCAAGAGGAGGGGGGAGGGAGGGAGCAAGTGGAAAAGAGAGCAGAGGCAGAGGAAAGAAGGAGCGGGAACGAGGGAGGGGAAGGGAGTGAGGGATGGGAAGGGAAGGAGAGACAGGGTGGGGAGGACAAGGGAGAAAGGGCGCAGGAGAGGGAAGGAGAGTATGCGGCAGGGACAACAGGCAGCAGCATGTATGGTGGCGTGAGTGGTAGTGCGAGTGCAGCTGCGAGCGGCATGTGTGAGGAGGATGAGGCAGGTGCTGTGAGGAGCGGAGGCGCACATGTGGCCTTGGCTTCTGCTGCTTCTCTCCCAGAGGCTGCTGCTGCTGCCACTCCGCCTGCTGCTTCTCCTGCTGCTCCTGCTTCTGCTCCCGTTGCTGCTCCCGTTGCTGCTCCTGTTCCTGCTGCTGTTGCTGTTGCTCCTGCTGCTCCTGCTCCTGCTCCTGCTGCTGCAGCGCTAGCAGCATCTGCAGCAGCCCCTGCTGCCATGGCCATTGGTTGAAGCACGTTAGTGGTGGGGCGGGGGGCTTGCAGCAGAGCAGTGCAGAGAGTGGCACACAGTGCGCTCCTGATGGGCCTGAGGGGCGTGAGGAGCAGCATGCAAGCACAGCACCAGCGACAGCACCGCACACGCACACACTCGAACGAGCAGCGGACTGCCATCTCCCGACCAGCCTGGAATCTCCTTCTGTCCTTCCAGCAGCACCTACTGCTGCTGCCGTCCCTCCTCCCGCTGCCATCGTGTCACCCTCCCCCGCTGCCTCCCCTCCCACCGCCAACCCTCCATGCACCCCTGAACCTCCTCCATGCCACTCCACCTCTCCCTGGCCCCCCCCCACCCGCGACTCTCATCCCTGTGGACGCGTCTCAACACCTCATTCTCTCCCCCGCTGCAAGCACGGCACCTGGCGACCCTCCCTCCCCTGCCGTGCCACCGGCTGCCCTTCCAGACAGCATTCCAGAAGCAGAGAAGGGCATTCTAGGGCGGGGCCACGGGCCCCCTCTGCCCCTTCCACTGCCTCTTCCCCTGCCCCTTCCGGCCACGGGCCCACTGCAGTACGGGCCTGGGAGTTGGCATGGGTAAGCGCCTGATGCTGCATGGCAGAACGCGCCTGCTGGCGTGCCCCTGCAGGGAGGGGACGCGATGCCCATGCATGCACCATGTCCAGCCATGGGGTTGGGCATGGAGGCGGGAATGGGGATGGGTAGGGAGGCATGCAAGGGTGTGGGTGTGGGCATGGAGATGGGAATGGAGGGGGTTGGTGGTACCGCCAGGGAGGGGTAGGGAGGGAGTGTACGGGCGGAAGGCACGGATGGTGGGACGGGTGCAAAGACAGGGGAGGAGGAAGGCGCAGGATGGGTGGTAGCCGGGGCATTGGGTGCAGGGGGTGGGAAGGGGGGTGGTGGGGGGGGGAGAGGAGGCCAGGGAGGAGGAGGAGGGAGCAGTGGGAAGAGAGGAGGGAGGGTATCAGGAGCAGGATCTGCCACGTAGGCACCTGTCTACATGTACTCGTTTGAGCAGCTCAAGGAGATTGGCCTGCAGTCCGTCCAGTACCAGCATGACACGTGGCACAGCATGAATGGCAGCACACAGCTGGCCCTGGAGGAGCTCATTAGGCATGTGACTAGACGGGGGGCGGGCAGAGGGGGAGCGGGAGGAGGAGGAGGAGGGGGAGGGGGAAGAGGAGGAGGAGGGGGGGGAGGGGGAGGGTGTGGGGAGACGGGGTCAAGGCGCAAGGGGCGAAAGAATGCAGGGGGGTAAGAGCAGAGTGGGAGGGGGGGAAGGGGACAGGGGGGTATGCATGGGGAGGGCAGCAGCAGCAGCAACAGTATGTGGGGCGGGCAGAGTGCGCAAGTGGCAGGCGATGTGAGGACAGGCATGGACACCCACATGGCTGCCTTGGCAGCTGACGCCCGAGGCTATGCCACCACTGCTGCCACTGCTGCTGCTACTGCTGCTCCTGCTGCTGCTAATGCAATGACGTGTCCTGCCATGAGTGGCTGGAATGCAGTTGATGCTGGCTTTCCGACATATGCGAGAGGTGCTTCCACTGCTGGGGATGCTGACACTGGCGCCACTGGCAAGAATGCAGGTGATTCCACTGCCCCTGCTGCAGCGCCTGATGCAATTGACACCCGAGGAGAGGTGAGCAAGACAGGGAAAACTGCCGCTGCTGCTCATGCTGCTGCTGGTGCTGCTGGTGCGTAGAGCACAGCTGGTGGTGCGATAGGCAAGGATGTGCCGGGGCAGCAGATGCATGACGAGAGAAGCTTGCCTGATACCAGCGCTTGTGCTGCTGCTGCTGCTGCTGCTGCTGGTACCTCGAGTGGCAGCGGGGATGGCATGGATAAGTCTGGAGCGAGTGACTTGCACCGTCAGCACCAGGAAACGCAGGGGGAGTATGAAGAGGAAGAGGAGGAATTCGAGGAGGAGGATGAGGAGGTGGAGGCACTGCAGCCGAGGGCCCTGCAAGTGCATGGCGAACCCGATTTCTCGCAGCCACACCCCCTTGATGGTCTCGAGTACTTCCGCCGAGTCAGGTGATGACTGCTCAGGAATGACCTTCAGGTTTATGTTCAGGATTCAGGGTTTAACGGTTTAGGAAGTAGGCTCTAGGCTCTGGGTAAAAAGATTGAGTTATCACCCGATGCATCGAGTCAGGTGACAATTCTTGGGGTCACGGGTTCAGGGAATAAAGTTTAGATTTCAGGGATTGGGGCTCTCAAGCTACTCCCATGCATTGGGCTCTCAAGTATCTGCACCCAGTGTGTGTCTTGCGCAAGGTGTTTCAGGGTCAAGGTTTGGGCTGGTTGCATGACAGTTTGGGGTAGGAGTCCAGGTGATGCGCGCTTGGAGCCAGCTAGGAGCTCTTATTTTGCGTGAGCATTCACCCTCATCTGACTCAAACACTGTGGCTTCCCTTTTCAAATCGCTGTCCCTCTGTTGAACGCCCCCCCCCTCCCCCCGTTGCAGGTGGGAAAGGGAATGCGCACAAAAAGTGGTGGTCGCAGCAGCCAATGACAAGGCGCCAGCTGGAGGCAAAGCCAACAGCAGCAGCAACAGCAACGGCAACAGCACCAGCAACGACAGAGAGCCCGTGGTCTTGGCTTCGTGCTACCTGCCTCGAGTGGCCCCTCTGCCTGCGTGCCCCGTGCTGCTGCTGCTCTCCCACGAGTGGCGCCTCTACCTGCAGGCTGCCTTCAGCTACCTGCGCCAGGTAAGGCGCTGCAGGCTGTGTTTCCCTTCATACTCGTCACACATGATATGCGTTCTTCTCTCCTTCTTTCAACGAGGCATGGATTATATCTATCAATCTGCCAATTTTCGGAGTGGGTGAGTGTTGTCACATGTGGCAACGCATGTCACATGGCAGGCATCTTTTGGCTAGCACAGCTTGCTACAGACCCTATCCTGTCCACCTTCAAACTCTTCTCCTCCTTCAATTAGTTGCCCAACTCACTGCTTCTGCTCATACTCTTTTCATACCCCTCCCTCCCTCCTGCCCTCTGTAAGAAATAGAGGTGAAATGACTGATTAGGTAAGGAGCCCAAGGCTCTATAAGTACATGGCAAAGTAAGGGAGAATGGATGAAGGGGGAATCGGAGGGAATCCCCATTGGGATCTCCGGAATCTCCAATTGGGTAATTGGAGATTGGGGGGATCACAATTGGGTGAGGTTGGGATTTTGTGAGTACACCCCAACCCACTAGAACATTCCTAACCTAAACTAGGATATAAAAGTACAAATACAAAAGTAGGATTTGCAATCTATTTCTAACACACCCCCACAGACTGCAAAACCCGGTCAAGGAGCACATAGCCCTATGGAACGAAGAAGGCGATGGTGAACAGCCTTGCCAAGAGCCTTGGTAAAAAGGTCGCCGAGGTTGTAATCCGAGGCAATGTATCGTACCGTCAGCTGGTCACTCTGAACAAGATCTCGGATGAAGAAATGACAAAGTTCAATGTGCTTGGTGCGAGAGTGGAACACAGGATCCTTGATGAGGTGAATGGCGCTCTGGTTGTCACACCATAGGGTGGGCGACTGCTGGGGTAGCCTAACTCAGCGAGGAGAAAGGAGAGCCAGCGTGCCTCTTGAGCAGCCATTGTGCCTGCGTAGAGCTCGGCCTCGCAGGACGACAGGGAGACTGCAGAGGACCGAGTGGAACACCAGCTGATGACTCCGCTACCAAGAGTGAAGCAGTACCATTGGGAGGAGCGTCTGTCAGTCTGGTCATCGGCCCATGAGGAGTCTGTGTATCCCTCGAGCTTGACTGGAGAGGTACCACCGAGAGTGAGGATGTGAGACTTGGTGGCTTGTATATAGCGCAGGACCCTCTTGGCTGCAGACCAATGCGATGCAGTGAAGCGTCCGGGGGAGACGTACCGAGAGAGGACACTAACCGGGTAAGCCAGGTCTGGTCGAGTGCACATCATGGCATACATGAGTGAACTGACTAGCTCAGGGTACGGGTCCTTGCAGGTGTCAAGAGAAGGAATCGGAGGGGCCGTGAGCTGATGCTGTAGTGGGAGAGGAGTCGAGATAGAGGAGGACAGAATGAAAAGACTGGAATCTGAGGCGAAGGGATGAATGTCAAGTGCAAGGAGTACTTCCTTCACCTTCTTGTGCCACTCACGAGGAACCTGCTTGAGGCCATACACTGGGCGCTTCAGCTTCTATACTGTGTTGGCAGGATAAGTGCCAAGAAACCCCGATGGGCGTTCCATGTGAACATCCTCCTTGAGCTGGCCTTGGAGAAAGGGGGAGGAGGCGTCCATGGACTTGATCTCGAAGTTGCCGCGAGCGGCTATATCAAGAAGAGCGCACACAGTTGGGAGCTTGGCCGTGGGCGAGAATGTTTCGAAGAAGTCGAGAAACTCCTTCTGGGTGAAACCCTTCGCCACGTATCGTGGTTTGAACAGTGGAGCTTTGTCTAGGAGATGTTTGACTCGGAAAATCCATTTTCCGCCAACGATGTTAACACCGGAAGGGGGAACGACATCGTCAAAGCTGTTGTTGCGAATGGACGCCTCGTTCTCCCCATCCTTTGCTGCCTTCCACTCCGGGATGCGACTGGAGCTGGACCCCAGACATCCATGTGCACTAGGTCCAGCGGAGCAGCAGCGACGGATGGGGAGGAAGGGTGCAGCTGCTGCCTGAGCTTGCTTTTGGTGCAGTCCACGCAGGTGGGTGCAGGTGAGTCTGTTGGTGGAGGAAGCGCCGATGGGAGGCCAAGAAGAAGTTTCCTGGAAGCGATGTCGGTATGCGTACGGAAGTTGGGGTGACCCAAGCGATGATGGTAGAGGATGGTTGGGTTGGCGAAGCTGCGACAGGAACACGGAGTGGTGTTGGCAGCTTGCACTTGGGAGAGGGCGACGAGAGGTGCAGGTGAACGCAGCGTGTAGAGCTTGCTGCTGTTGAGTGTGAAGCGTGCTAGGAGCTTGTTGGACTTAGGGTCAAGGAGGTCACAATGATCCGAGTGTGCTGGGAAGATCTTGGTGACGCTTGCCCGTTGGAGCTCGTGTTGGGCCACGAGATTGTGGTGTAGTGTCGGAACACACATGCCGGTGACACTGCATGAAGGAAAAGCTGGGCATGGAACTGTGGAGGAGCCCGTGGCGTGTATTGTGAAGCTGGAGTCTGCTCCTAGAAGAGGGATTGGTGTCTCGTATGGCTTGAAGGAGTGTTCTTCCTTGAGAACCGTGGGAGTGGCCCCACTGTCGAGGGTGAACTCTATTGTGGCTGAGGTGCTTTGTGAGTCGGGACACTGCGAAATTGTCTCGTTAATCATGGCAGTGCCAGGGAACAACATGTTGAGGCGCACATCAGCAGAGGGAGCTATAGCAGCCTGCACGGATTCCTGCGCTTCGACTTGATTGACCTTGCGAGGAGCACGATTGACCATCCAGCTTGGCGGCTTCGAGGCGGTCCCAATGATGGCATACCACTCGTCAACCTTCTTCTTGAAGTAGGAGGCAAGGGCGTGGTTGGTGACGCCACACACCTGGCTGGCACGAGTGCCGCGCTTGATGACGTAGGGACACGGGGGGAAGC